CTTCCTTGTATAAATGCAAATGGACTTTCAAAAACTTTGTAAAGGAATTTTCCAGAGATCTTTATCCTGGGAAAGGGAGGAAGAGTAGGAAGAGAGAAAGGGGAGGTGGGGGAGGGAAGGAAAGAAAGAAGGAAGGACAGATGGATGGAGATGAGGTGGGGAGAGAGCAGGGAGGCTGGAGGAGGGACCTGGTTTAGGTGACTCAACCTGCTAAGGAGGCTGGGCTTGTGCTCGAGCTGGAGGGGCGGGCCCCCACAGTTTCGTCCCCTGGGGCCCTTTCTTTTGCGAGAAAGTTCTGAACTTCATGGGGCAGGGTGGGGCAGGTTGGAAGCTCCCCAGATCCTTCCTCTGACACGCCCACCCACCACAGGCTCCACCGGGGTCCTCAGGCTAGTTTCAGTGCCCAAGCAGTGTGGATACACTGGGAATGTGGGGGTTCAGCCTGGCCGGACTGAGTCCCAGCCTAACCAGACCCCCATAGACCCTATTATATCTGCTGCACAGAGCCAGCTCAGCCATGGTCCCCCTTTCTGATAATGAGTTTGGTCAGCCTTCTCATTCCCACGGTCTTCCTCCACGGAGTTCCCCAGTTTTAGGAGGCCTACTACCCCAGGCTTCGTGACCTCCAGACCCCTACCTCACTGTCTCCTCAGGCAGCCTGTCCCCTGGGCTTCCGTGGGGGGTGGGGTGGGGTGGAGAGCAGGTGGAGCTGTTGACCATTAAGTGTCCCCCACACCAGGATTCAGCTCAGCCCAGACTCTGTGGGAAGTCAAGGGACCTGGGGGCCTGGAAGGTCGTTCGGGAGTTGAGACAACCCACCAGGGCTGCCCACTCTCTTCTCTGAGGCCTCTCAGCATCCTTGCTCTGAGTGACCAGGGTTCCAGACACAGTCAGGGAAGCCCTGTGCAAACCAACAGGAAAGGATAGGTAAGGGGTTTCCCCCTGTGGGCCCCATTTCTCGATGAAGGAGTCCCAGGCAGCCTCATGAGCTGGCCTTGTCAGCGCACCTGCTTGTGTATGTGTGTGTGTGGAGGTTGGGTAACATGCCCGGGCATCGCACTTGTGCGCCGCCTGTTAGGGAACGGGCCTGTATCTCAGCCGTGTTGAACCTCCATCCTGGGGCCTATGCAGTTGGGGTGTTCAACAGGAGACTCATTGCCAGTGTCCCCACAACTAGACCTTGAGCTGCCAAACAGTGACCACTCCCTGTGGGTGGAAAACCATGTTGGGGGTGGGGGACAGCCACGGGGCTACACGGTAGGATTTACAGTCTAGTCCCCACCCCGTGCTCCTATCTTCCTGTGCTCACTGACCCTGCGCCCTAGTCCTTGGGACACTTTTCCGGTGGGGTCCGTGTGGGTGCCAGAACCCAGCAGTGGCAGTCCCTTCCTGCTTTCAAAGGCAGCATGCCCCCCAGAAAAGGATCAGTGTTGGAGACCCTGAGGGGCTTGGGGAGGAGTTGCCAACTCTGCCCAGGAATTCTGGGGCAGCTTCCTGGTGGCGGTGGAGGCTGAGTAGTCAGGCAGAGATTTCAACAGATGACATATGTAAGACCAGGAGGCAAGAAAGTGGGGTGCAGAGCATGAGAGATCCCCCCATCAGGGTAAAGCTGGCCTGGACAGGGTCCAGTACTTCCAGGCAGCTGACTGTACATCTAGACCTTGGGGGAAAGGGGTCCATGCTTGGGGTGGGGGCAGCGAAACAAACTGGAGCCCAGTCAGTCCCTTTCCCTTCTCAGTGGGGTAACACCCTCCCAGCTGGACCAGCCACTTTTAAAGTGGAAAAAAGCTGACAGGGCTTTACTAGGTAGATGAACTGAGGCCCAGGGCCAGGGAATGCTGGTGGGGGGCCAGCAGGGCAGTGACAGCTCAGGACTCAAGCCTGGCTGGGGGTGTGGCACTGGACAGGAAGGTCCCTCTCAGACCTCGGGCTGGAGCTCTGCAAGCAGGTCAGGGATTTTATAGACAACTTCAAAGGTGGAAGAATCGCTGGCACAGTGGCTTAAGTGTAGGGCTGCTAACCTCAATGTTGGTGGTTCAAACCTAGCAGCCACTCTGTGATAGAAAGACAAGGCTGTCTGCTCCCATAAAGACCCACAGCCTTGAAGACCCCCTAAGGAACAGCTGTGTTCCGTCCTACAGGGTCACTATGAGTTGGAACAGACTCGATGGCAGAGGGGTGATGGGTTGAAGGGTGGAGGGGCCTTACCCCTCAGCATTCTTAAATCTTCCAAACTCCAGGCCAGTGCCTAGTCTCAGACCAAATGGTCAATCATAAGCCCTCGCTCCGACCAGTCTCTGAATCTCCAGGCCACTCGCTCTCTCTGCCCTACACTGACTTGCTGCCCTACATTGTGGACATGTGACTGAGATGGGGTGGCCGGTCCAGCACTGTCGTGTACAGTCTGCCTAGAGACTGACACCCCAGAACAGACCTCCTCACAGCACTACAGAGCCCCAACTCCCTCACCTATAAAATGGTGGGTATTGTGCCCCCAGTCTCCCTCTTGTGACCTCAGATTCCCCTAGGATCCTTGCCCACTGCTGACCTCCCTCACAGCTACCTGGGGGTGGGGGAGCAGAGGCCTGTACTGAGTATCAGCAGACCCCCACAGGCCCCTACCAGGATCTGTGAACTGACTGCTACAAAGAAGGACCAGAGGCCAGGGATGTGCATCTTTTTACGAACCTAGGACCCGTGTGTCCTGAGAAACACTGGAGTGGGCCCGTGGGCTGGGGCTGGGTGGGCTTCCTTTGGGGATATTAATGGGCTAATGTCAGTAGGCCACTCAAACCACCCATGAGAACAATCCAACCGTCCTGGGTCTTGAGAAGAAGGTGGCGACTGGAAACTCCCACTGCCCTCTGCAAACCAGTCTCCCCAGCATCCCTGAACTGGTCCCCAGCCAGCTTGGGGGTACAGCCCAGGGTGCCCACCACAAGCTATGTCACAGTGGTAGCCCCATTCAGCTTTACGCAGCCACACGTCCACTCCCCTTAGGGTCCCGGATGTATTACATACTCCCCTGTCCCAAGTTTCTGCTTAGCTCCCCCAAGGCCCACTTCCCAGGCCTGCCTCCACTAAAAAGGCTCTCAGGCACCCTGACAACTTTGATCAGAAAGAAGCCCCAACCCCAGGTCAAGGTTGGTAAAGGGCAGGGAGGCCAAAAATATCCAACCAAATTCACACTCACTTGCCAGGAACCAGGAGGGGAGACCCTTAGCCAACTGTCTGTACCCAGCCTCCATGGTTCCCCTATGTGTTCTCCCAGCCATTCATGGGGGCTCCAGGCAGCCCAGGGGGTGGGCTTCCCTGGGTCTGTGTCTCAGTTGCTCTCTGGAAGGTGGTTGACAAGGGGGGCTGCTTGTGGACATCCAATAGACTACAATCCTCCCGTTGATGGAGGATGGATGAGCGGAGAAGTTATCAGAACAGCTAGACCTGACCCCAAGTCCCTATTCTGTTGGCCTCTTTCTGCCTTCCCCACAGCTTAAAAGCTGTTCCAAAAGCCAGGGCTGGCAGGCCTTCATTTTGGGCCTGGGTAAATCGGGGTGATCTACTGGAGGGTACAGAGGTACCCCAAGGAGCTAGGTCTGAGACTCTGAGTCAGTCTAGGGACAAGGGCCCTAGGGGCTGAGATGCCTGGAGCATGGGTGGGGAGTATGCTCCTATCTTTCTGCCGGTCCAGCCGCTGGCTGTTCTTACGTAAACATTCCAGCTCAAAGGCGCCTCCTCAGGGCACTGACCCTCCCACCATCACCCTGACACCCTCCTGACAAGTCACCCAAGATTGGAAGAGAGTTTCCAGCAGCTGAGGGCTAGGACTGGCATGGTCTCACTGAGCAGCAACAGGTGGGCCAAGATAGGCAGGGAGTGAACTCGCTTGTCGCCTCCGTCAGAAGCCGGGGTACCCCAGCAGTCCATCCCAGGGACCTTCCTGGCTAGATCGCCTAGCCTTTACACCTCCAGGACCCGCAGCTGGGTGGGGGTGCCTTCTGCCCTCGCACTCACTATCCTGCGCGCCTATCTCTGAACTCTGGCTGTGTCCGACCGGTGGCATTCTGGGCTCCCAGCATCAGCGGCCTGGCACTTCGCCCGGTTCTGGCATCGCTCACAGAAATTCATAGCCCGAGAGGAGCACGTGCGGGTCCGAGGCTGCCCTGGGCTGGCTCTCCTGAGCCCCGCAGGTGGACGGCGCCGGGGGCCCGGACACTGGCCTCCCCTAGGGGAGCACGAGTCCCCTTCCCTGAGGACGGGCCGTGGTACCATTAGTCTTCAGGGTCAAGGGCTACGGTCGTCGCAACACGGAGCCGAGCCTGAGTTCTGCGGCTGCCGCGGCGCCTCGCGGGAGTGGAGCCCTCACCCTGTCGGGATTCCCAAACTCGGCCTCAGCCAATCCGCCCAGTCTCCGGGCCCCCGCCCCGCCGGCACGGCCCCGCGGCCTCTCTTTCTCCGCTCCGCCGCGCCTCCTAGACCATTGAGATGCAAATTGTCCCCAATTGTCGCTGAGACGTATACGGCTGAGCCGGATCCTTCCGCAGAGCGTCCCAAACTTTTGGCCTCGTAACTTTGAACAGACAAGTAGTGCCTGCTCTGGGGCGTCCTTCTCCGCGCTGCCCCGGGTCCGAGCGCCCCATCCGGCCGCGCAATCCCACGGAGGGGCGCATTCCGAGGGGCACAACCAAGGGGCAGCGAACCAGGGTGCGGGGTACTGAGGCATCGCGGGAGAGGTGCGGAGGCGGGGCCTCGAGGCGGGCGGGGCGGGGCCCAGCGGGGCGGAGCGCAGGGCCGCCGGGCGTCTCACTATTGCCTCGGCCGCGGGAGGGAGCGCAGGGCGCTGGCCGAGCGCTACGTAGAGACCGCAAGTTCAGCCGGCGCCGGAGCCCGTGAGAGCCAGCGCCGCTCACCAGTCCCCGGGAAGCAGAGGGCGGAGCAGGACCCCCGGCGCGAGTGCGCCCAGCCGGCCGTCCGGCGCAGGAGGCCGCCGCGGGGAAGCAGGCATGCCTTCATTTCTGGCGCCGCTGCTCTGCCTGGCGCTGCTGCCCGCGCTCCCCGCCACACGAGGTAGGCGCCGCCCAGCGAGCCCGCAACTTTCCGCGCCCCTCGCCAACTTTGTCGGCGCTGAGCTAGAACCACTGGGGGACTGGGAATTCGGGGCTAGGACACCCTCACACTCCCGGGCGCGGGGGCCGTGCTGGTAGCCGGGTACGGGGCGCTGATCGGGGGGCCCGGGGCCCCTCCGCACAGCTCGCCTTCCGGGGCCGCGCGTGGGCTCGCAGCTAGGCGCGCTGGCTGCCTAGCAATTTTCGATTTCAGTCGCGTCGGTTTGGGTTTCCTGTTGCCTCTCGGAGCCATTTGTCTTCTCTCTGAGCATTGGGCCCGCGCTGGGGGCGGATGTTAGGGCGCGGAGCGTGGGGTCCCAGAGCTGCATTCGCCTTCGCTAACCCTCGGGGCCCCGGCCGGCAGGGCACCGGGGACAGCGAGGCCAGGGCCAACTGGCCCCCTTCCCCTTCAGGAAGGTTCGCGCGTGCTGCAGCTTGGGGCGGCGGAAGGCTCGGGTCCCGGACCCCCACAGGCTTGTGGCCCTCCTCCCCCCTCGCCACCCACAGCTTACAGTCTCCCCTTGGGGGATGTGGAGCCCGGGTCACAGCTTTGTGGTGGGGGCTGTGGGACGCTCGCCCATGGTGGGACTGACTTTCGCTTTGCTCCGCGTAGTTCAACTTTGGCGATCTTGGGGGGTGAGGGAGAGAGACGTGGGAGGGGACGCAGTTTCTGGCCCGCTTCCCATCCCAAGGGTCCCTTGGCAATCTAGTAATAAATTCCTCTCATGCAAAAAGTTGGAGGTGAGAACTTTTCCTCTCTCGGAAAGTAGCTCCCTGTCACTGCACCGTCCCCGCCTTTGGAGAGGGAGAGCTTCGCTTGTCCAGCGGGTTGGAGGAGAAGGGAGGGACGTCGTTTACGAGGCCCCTTCTCGGGAGTGGGGTCGCATTCCTTCCCAACGGGGCCCTGCACCCTCCCCTGGGTGTGGTGGGGCTGCCCCTGGAGATGCCCGCGCGGGAGCAGGTATTGGGTGTCCGCAGAGGCGGGGCGGCCCGGGCCCGACAATGGGCAGCTCTGATTCCGCGGCCGGCGCTTTGTTGGCGGGCGGGGCGACGGGCCTCGCAGCTGTCGCATTTTCCCACGAACCGAGTGGTGGCCGCCCCCCGCCCCTCCCCGCGGCTGCCCCCCTCCCGCCAGAATGTTTGAACATCAAGACGATCTCTGGGACTGGGTGGGGGCCCTAGCTCCTAGTCGCTAAAGAAAACTGGAGAGGTGGAGTACAAAGTTAAGGAGAGCAGCTCTGGGTGTCCTCCCGGATTCGCCACTGCTGCTGAGGGGCTTAAGTAGCGCCCCTCCACTTTGGGCACTACCTGCCCCCACCCCGCCTCGGTTTCTAAAATATGGAACTGTGAATCCTTTTGGGGTTCATGTAGGCATTCATCAGTGCCCCCCACAACCCCAAGATGCTGAGGTCTGATGGCCCACCTTCATCTACACTTGGTGACAGGGCTGGCTCTCTGTCTCCAGAGGTGGGCCCTCCTGGGCCGGGCCAGCTCTGCTGACCTCCTTGTCTCTTGCCCTCCCCCACCTTCCAGGCCTGCGGTGTTCCCAGCCCAGCGAGGAGACCTGCTTAAATGGTGGCAAGTGTGAAGTGTTTGCCAATGGCACGGAGGCCTGTGTGTGAGTATGCGCCCCCCGGGGACCTGTTGCTTTGTTGGAGAGGGAGCCCCTGCCTTCTGCGGCAGCCTGGGACAGAACACTAGACCATTGTCTGGTGGAGATGGCCCAGAAGGCTGGGCGCGTCACGTGCTGACTTTTATTGGACAAAGTCTGGCAATTACCTAATCACTCACAATTAGGCCTCGTGTGAGCTGGTCTGGCCTTGGAGGGGCCCGGGTTCCCTCTTTGTGGCCACCTCAGCCTGCTGGGCTCTAAGTGGAGCTTCTGAGAGCCCATTTCTTCCTGAACCCCCTGAGAGACAGCTGGCCTGTTGAGGGGCTCAGGACCCCTACTGCCAGCTATGGAAGGCCTCCACTGGACAGGTTGAGCACCTGTGGGCAGGCGAGTTCCAGAAGGAAATTGTTAAAGTATGTCAAACCAAAATCCAACCCTGGGCTTCGGCCTTCCCCCAGCCACTCCTCCAGTCTTGGGGTGAGAGGAGGGAGAGAAGCCTGCTGGGCCCCAAGTGAACTGGCCCCGCCCATCTCTCCAGACTGGGATGACTGTCGGGAAGCTGGGATTCACTCTTGGCTGGGACCTCACTATGCTGGCCTGGAGAGTGGGCGCCAGGGGAGGGGGAGTGAGGAGCCTAAGAGATCTGTTTGGAGTGCCTGCCCGCCTTGGGGACATTTTCCCTGCTCTGCCTGTTGTCCTTCAACTTGAGTTGGCCCCTGATGGGAATACTGAGGAGGCCCTTGGGGAGGGGTCCAGCCCGCCTCATTCCAGCCGTTGATGGGCCCATTCCCCTGACAACCGGCTCTGCTGCTGGACCAGCCCGCCTGCCCACCAGCCACCCCCAGGCTCCCTCCCACCAACTGAAGCCAATTACGCAGATCTGTGAGCAGTTTAATGAACAGAAACAGTGTTCCTTTGTCAGACACTAATGAATGCACGCTACTTTTTTTTTTTTGCTTTTTTGGGGGCCTTCTGCCCCTGCAGAAGCCTCACCAACGCTTGATGCCCTAAATCTTGTTTCCTTTCATTCAGAGGCCGACAGCTGGGATTCCGAGGCAGTGCAGCCACTATTGTTGGGGAGGCGGATTAATGTGGTGTGATTAATTATGCTGGACTTCCCAGAATGCACAGCTCCCTCCCCTACAGCCCCCCCAACATTGCCTCTCGAACCCCTTCCATTCAGGAGGCAGAGAGAATCTTAGGACTTCTGCAGAGGACTTTAGGAGGGAACAGGGATACCATGCTGGTGGAAAATTGGGGTGGTCTTTTCTGGGAGCCACCAGGGACTAGAGTGGCTGAGTGGTCTCCAGTGAGGTCAACCTAGGCTGAAGCTGGCTCTTGGGTTTGGGGCAGTGGCAGACACCCCATCCCCTGGCACCAGGGCAAAAATGCTTCAAGAGAACCAGGTGATTGTGTGGTATGCCCCAGATCTGGGGGTCCCTGGATCCCCCTTCCTGAGCCAGTCGCCCAAGGTCTCTGGCTCAGCAATTCTGCACTGGGTCTGAAACCCCCTCCTTTTTTGGCGGGAAAGTCTCCCCCAGTTTGTCTGGGCGCTCAGCCAAGTGCGGCCCACAGAGATCCCATTGTGTATACCCCGCAAATCCAGTGAGGAGGGGCCATGGGCAACCTCTGGACAACTCCATGTTTGGGGTGCAGGGTCAGGCCTCTGGGATTTGTAGCAAACCTGTGGCCTCCGGCAGGGAGCGGGTGTCTCTCTCTGGACCCTGGGCTTGAGCCCAGCTTGCACATCTCCAGGACTCCGTCCCAGCTGAAGGAGGCCTGTGGCCTGCTGGAACTCAACATCCAAGCAGGGCCCAGAGGTTGGCTTTCCCAGCTGAGGGAGAGGCCATATTCTTTCCTCTGAGGTGTTCCTGGTGCAGACTTCCAGCGCTCCCATGGTGGGAGTTCAAATCCATGGTGGGAGTCAGTGCTTTGACTTTCTGTACCAGTTTGCTGTCCTGTCGGTTGGGTATGAGAAACGGTTTTACCAGCAGTGGCTGGAGTTTGGTGAATCATCTGTTCCCACCCCGAGGATTGCTGGTCAGGTAGAGGGAGGTTCCGTCTCTGGTTCAGGCCTTCCCATGGGGTTTGCCTCTGGAGACTGCTTGTGCAGGTGGGGGTCCTGTGGGTAAGCAGAGAGGCCTTCTACCCCCTCCTAGTCCTGCTAAGGGAAAAAAGGACCCCCACCCCCCTGCAGTTGGAGCAGGGGCTGGGCAGAGTCTCTGGGTGGGAGTGTGTCCTCCGTCTGGAAGATTCATCAGGGGACCTTCCCTGCCTGTGGGGATTTGGGGGTAACTTTAGGTAATGGCAGAAGTGGGGCGTCACCACCAGAGTAGCTGGCTGGGGCCTGGGGGACTCCTGTACCGAAGGCCTAGTTCATGGCACTGTGCCAGTCTGCCTCTCCGTGCTATAGCTGATGAAAGACCATGCTCTTAGTACTGTAGGGGCAGAGGCCACCCCACTCCTCCTGCCCTCTCCTTTTGAGCTGACCCGCTGGTCTCAGGGTCCTAGGTCTCTATCAGTTGGGTGTTGAATTAATGCTGAGCCCTTGTGGAGATGCCCGTGGGCCTGGACTGGCTGTTTGGGAAGACGTGGTCGTCAGCACATCACACTTTTGAGAGCATTCTGCTCTAGGTGCTGAGACATGTCGGGGACATGCCAGCCCCAAGCCCTGCTGTTACAGCACTTACCTTCCAGGTGGGGTCAGAAGGGACAAGAGAGGTACAGAGGGTGGGCCAAGGGGCCCTGACACAAGGGACTTGAGTGATGCCATGGAGTGGCTGAGATCACAGAACTGCCACCTGGCCCCCACGTGCTTGCCTGACCACTGCCCTGCCCTCTGACTTCCCTTCCATTGAGGAGGGAAGTGACTTGGTTTCCACTGTGTCACCTGCCGCCGGGGAGGGGCAGAGGAGGTCACGGGGCTGTGTCTGGGAGTGAGGAAAGGCTGTCTCAGGGCTTTGTCAAAACACTTGGTCAAACAGAAAGTCTCACCTGTTCACCCCCTCAGCTAACCAGGGAACGTCGGGGGGCGGACCCCAGCAGAGCGCCTGTGGTGAAAAGCGGGCCAACAGTTTTTCCATTGAAAAAATACTTTTTGTTTTTAAGCCAAAGGAAGAGGGTGTGGCCTTTGCAGACATAGGGTGGCTGGAGCAGATAGTGAATGGAGGAGCCAGAGCTGGGGTGCATCGGCTGGGGCTCTGTACAGCACGTTGTCCACCAGTGCAGGGCTGTCTTGTTCCTCTGTTGAGGCACCTGCATGGCAGGTGGGGTTGTTGGTGTGTGGGGGGGTGGGGGGGATGGGGGGGAGTTGCATTACCGCCTCCTGTTTCCTCTGCATGTAGCTCTGCAGAACATACTGCGTGATTCAGTTGTTCTAAGTAGTGTAAGGACAGTGACTCTGCACACCTGTATGTGGTCAGCCTGACAGGTGGTGACCCCAGCCACCTGTCTTCCCCATTTTGTAGGTGGGAAAATGGACTCTGAAGGAACGATTCACTAGAGTCAGCTTCTGTGCCCCAGGACACTTTACTGACTTTAATGAGTCGCAGGCTTGGGGCAGCGATCCTGTGAGCGGTGCACTAGGTGGCCCTCAGGGGCCAGGTGGACTTTTTCTCTGATAGGGAGAGTGGACACTGAATGGTGTAGAAGGTGAGGAGCCTCGTTTTCCTCGTCTGTGTGTACAGGGGTTGGAGCCCCCTTCTTCAGTACCCAGGTGGGTCTGGACCTGAGACAGTACTGGTGGCAACGTGCGGCAGAATGGTGGAGTGGAGGTGCCCAGGGGTCAGACCTGGCAATGTGGCTAGGCGGGTTCTACCAGTCTGAGGCTGCTCCTGCCTGCCCAGACAGGAGCACTTCTGAGGAGGGCAGTGATTGACAGTTAGATTGGCTAGCCACGGAGGAGGGGCGGGCTGAAGGATGCCCCTCCTTGGCCCCCCCACCTGCCCCTCACCCTGTCCTGCACTTGGCCTTGAGGATGGGCCCATCCTCAGGGGACAAGGGACTGGAGTTTTGGGATAGCTAAAGATGGCCAAACTTCGTCTCTCATACTTTGGACATACTGTCAGGAGGGACCAGTCGCTGGAGAAGGATCTCATGTTTGGTAAGGTGGAGGGTCAGAGAAAAAGAGGAAGACCCCCAGTGAGATGGATTGGCCAGGTGGCAACAGTAGTGAGGTTGGCCCAGGATCGGGCAGTGTTTCGTTCTGCTGTGCCTAAGGTCGTTATGAGTCGGTACCAACCTAATGGCCCCTAACCACAACAAAGGTATATATGAAAGGGCTTTGAAAAGTTTCTGGGAGAGTTCATTGTCTTTTAATTCCATATTTCATGAACTTTTTCAAGTCCCCTTGTATATATACTCATCCAGTATATATATATATATATATATAGAGAGAGAGAGAGAGAGAGAGAGTGAGTTGCTGGTATTAAGTGCTATCTAGTTGTTCTGACTCAGAGTGATCCTATATACGGTTTCCGAGGAGCAACTGTTGAGTTTGAACCACGACCTTGCAGTCTAGTGCTTATCCTCTAGTACACCACACCAGGACACCATAACGTAGTACTTGTTATTAAGTGCCGTCGAGTCAGTTCCAACTCATAGCGACCCTGCATAGGGTTTCTGAGAAGTGGCTGGTGGGTTTGAACCTGACTACCTTGCAGTTCAAACCAACCTTGAGGTTGAGTGCTTATCCTAGGGCACCACACCAGGACTCCGACATAGTACTTGGTGGTGGGTGATGGTGGTCATGTGCCGTGGAGTCGGTTCCGACTCATAGCGACCCTGTACAGGGTTTCCGAGGCTGTAAATCTTTACGGGAGCAGAAAGCCTCATCTTTCTCCCACGTTCGCAGCCTGATTTGTAACCACTACGCTACCAGAACTCCTTAACATAGTACATAGTACTTGGTGTTGTTAAGTGCCGTCGAGTTGATTCCGACCCATAGCGACCCTGTATAGGGTTTCTGAGGAGCAGCTGGTGAGCTTGAACCACTGACCTTGCAGTTC